ATTTAAGTTATGGAAAAATCAGTCAAAATCATTAACACAAAAACAGCGTCCAGGACCTGTCAAATGACTCAAAAAATTGAAAAAGCAACCAAACTGGCTCCAAAGAACGAGACAATGTCAAATTCACAAAATATTCCAGAAGCTAAGTCAGGAAAAGAAACTAGATCGTTAAAGGACAAATTAAACGTGTCTCTCTCCTCTCTCTCTTTTTCTTCACATAAATCGGAGTCCTATGGACCTCCGTCTCCCACGGCACAGCTGTACCCCTCTCTGGCTGGTTTCACTGACCCACCATCGTACGCCCCACCTGTAACGGCAAAGAAAAAGAAGGAAAAATCACAAGAACTACCCATTAAAGGTCAAGCTCAGCTGCTCCCACCACCAAAACTCATTTGAGCCCTTGACTCTGATGATGATTTTCAAGGATGTGCACCAGCATCTGATTCAGAGGAAGAAGATGATGAAACCTCACCAGTGTCCTTGCTGAAAACTCCAGCTGATAATAAAGGTCCTGTCGCTGGAACCAGTACTAAAGTCGTCACAAGACAAATGGGAAAAATTAAGGCCCTTGAAGAAAAGGCTGAAGCTATAAAAAAGGAAATTGACGACATTAAACAGCAAGGCCTAAAAAAATTAAAAAAAACGCAGATCATCATTGTCTGACCTTCCCCAAGCTGCAGATGGAGTGGACGACCCTGCAGACCTGCTCACCAACCTGATGCTGGAGGTTGGAGGGCCGACTGGCCCTCAACTGGTGTACCGTACATGGCCAAAGGTGACCCTGAACGAGATGGCAAGCCAGCACTTGCCTGACCTGGCACAAGGAGGAGCTGCTGTAGCTGCTGATGTGATGGACATCAAATTGTCAACATCCAGGCAGATCACAAGGACAACCAACAGTTCTTCACACACGTGGAAAGTATCACAGAACACATCACTGCAGTGTATGCTCAGACCCCAAGCTTCACCACCATCACAGACACTGTTTCAAAGACCAGATGAAGCCCCACAAGACTATGATAGCAGACTGCTCCCCGTCTTCAGAACCCACTCTGGTATTCCCATCAATAATGATGACTGGCGAGAAGCCCCTCAAGCAACGTCTTTTGAGATTATTTTCTGCCAATCTCTGATGACTGGACTTCTCCCACCTATCCGTAAAGCTATTCCATCCACCTACATTGGGTGGAAAACTGGTGTCCGGCTGAATGAGCTTCTCAGACACGCCAGGCACTCCTGGGATCAGCACACAGCTGACCAAACCTCCACTCAGAAGAAAAAACAGAGAGAAACTGAAGAGGCTCAGCTCATGCTGCTACAAGCAGCCACACAGATGACACTTAATACAGCTGCCGCTAAATTACCTCACCCACCAACACGCCAGCAGCAACCTGTCCAGCCTTAACAGCAGACTGACCCTGCTGAACCTCGCCCTTGTTTCCTGTGTGGAGGACTTGACCATTGGATCAGAGATTGCCCACACAAAAGGAATCAGTGGCGTGGCAAAGGTCGCCCGCAATACCAGCCAATACCACAGGGCCTGAGGCCTCAGCAGCACGGCACAGGCCAACAGCAGCCACAAAATGGACAGAACTTTTACCCAAGTCCACACCGATGCAGTGGACGTGGTTTTGGGCATCCAGGGGGCAGAGGCCGGAGAGGAGGTTACTCCACCTGACTAGTGCTGGGAGACCAGGACCCAGGACTCCAAACTGCAAGTATCAGCACACACACATCTGTTTTTCTGTCAGACACAGGCGAGATTTTCCTACATATTACAAATACACTCAGTCAGCGTATCTGAAGTTACCTATGTTGACAGTGTTAGTTCAAGACAAACCAATTTCTTGTTGACTCAGGAGCGACACAATCACTGATTATGAAAAAATGTTTTCCTGACGCTCCTCTCTCAGGCAAAATAGTACATTCTACAGGAGCGTCCGGTCAGGCTGTTCCTTAAGCTGTTACAGCCCCTCTAAAAACTACTGATCCTTTTGATCACATTACACATGACCATCAATTTCTGCTGTCAGCCTCCTGCCCAGTTAATCTACTGGCCAGGGACTTGATAGTGAAATTCAGATTAACTCTCAGCTGCGGCACTGAATTTCTGCTCGTCTCAAAACAAGCAGACAACCCAGAGACTCTTGTCTCCCTTACAGCAGATTTATTGTATGTTTTTGAATGGCTCCTGCTTGATCCTACTCAACAGCAGTCTCTCCTTGAAATGGCCAGAGACAGACTCCCACCCACAACTTGTTTCATGTCTGAACAACGTCTACACTGCACTGCTCATGTGACCAGATCTTGCTGACCAACTAGGGGACTCATATTTGATGACCCCTGAGACACAACTGACTACTTCGTCCCTCTGTTGGACCTCAGACGCTTGTTTTGCTTTAATTACACTCAAAGACAACATGACTCCTCAGACGTTGTATTTTACTACAGCAGACTCTTTCCCTCACATTTCTCTGGCCAAGCCACCTGACCAACAGTGGTGTTCTTTGGGTTCCCTAGCACTAAGGTCGTTTTCACACCAGATAGTCCGGTAGACTCGGTTCAGTTCGGGACCAATATTCACGACCTTTTGTTTACATTTGAGCTGGTGCGTTTGCATTCACACTGCACTGTGCAGTCGAGTCAACCTGTTGAACCAACTTATTCCCCCGCTCACCTGTGGGGGCGCTGCACCTAGAACTACTGAAAGAAACAACACAAAAACCTCTGAAGACACGTCTTCTTCTTCTTCTGTAAATAAAAATAAAAATGAAG